CGTGCTGAGCTATTGTTGTGAACGACTGCAGAAACAGTTGCCAAATGTAATGAGACAGTTGTGTGCAATTGTTCAGTGACCTACTTCCATCTTGAGATCTATGTGTTGGGATGGAGCCATGAAAGTTTTGCAACGACAAGATGAACTCGTCAATACGCGCACGTCCTGGGATGTTTGAGATGGGAGAAGATGCCACCCATGATTCATTATGTGTTTGGTGAGAGACAACGAGTAGGCGGGCATTTTGTTAAAAATATAACAGATGAAAAGACTCCCTCTTTGCAAACATGTACGAACCAAATTTTGAAATATGTTTCGTTATAGAGTTACATGCTCTAAGAACCCTAAAGACAATGGAAGGGTTTGAACATAGTGTCATCGATTTAGAGAACGTTTTTGTCAGCAGCAATAATTAATAGCGACAAAACGCTTTTCAGATCCATGAGAAATCTCTGCTATAAGTCGACTGTATAGTTCCGACTATATCATGAGTCGTTTTGAATCAGTATCAAATCGCGTTGAAACAAGGTATCAGGGAAATGGTGAGCCTATTCTGCCCCACCAGTGGCACCCGTCATAAACCAATCTAGTCAGTCGTTCACTTGAAGGAAACGAAATACCACCAAACAACGAGAAGTCAAAACAGAATCTGGGAGCGAGAAAGAAAAGAACCTAATTAATAGCAACAAAACGATTTTTTCAATTCCTTAAGAAACCTCAGCTATAAGTCGATACCATGAGCAAATGTTTATGAATCAGTATCAAATAGTGATAAAACAAGGTGTTCACGAAGGAGGAGAGTTTCCTGCTCCTCTGTTGCACCTGTTATGAACATAGGTAATGCACTTGTCATTTGCAGAAAAAGAAACCGGAAAGATCGATATACCATGATTTGATATCGTGAACCCAAACACAGATTCTGACTAATAGCCATAAGAAACAGATCTGCAAGGAGGGGAGCACATGTGCATGTCCGATTTCTTCTGCGAATGTTGAACGCCAAGTTTAACGTAGATGTTATCGACGTAGAAACAGCCTTTCACACATTATTTTCTCAATGACAATTGTCTTTATTTTGTAAAATGTCCTCGCAACACATGTAACTATATCTATGCTCAACACGTTTATAAATAAATGCTCAATGGATCAAGGAATGGGTTTTTTCGTCAGGTTTGTCCATAGTGGTCCATCTCGGAGCATCATTCCAGTCTGCCTACAAGACATCTCATAGCGCAGAGACAGCCCTAGTTAGAATCCACAATGGCACCTGGTTAATGTGGAACTGCGGCCTAAAATGGATAAAATCTTACTTGTGTGGTCGAACCCTATCTGTGAGGATTTGTGATGTATATTCAACCAAGTCTACACTGTTACATCGTGTCCTGCAAGGTTCTGTTCTTGGCCCTTTTCTCTTCATGACTTACATTGTCCCTGTCGGTGACATTATCAGAAAACATTTCAAAATTTTCACGTATACGCAAATGACTGCAAACTTTACATCACTTTCAAATCTACTGACTTATCTCTCAGTATCAGCAAACTCGAACATTGCATTCATGAAATCAGAGTATGGATGAACTGAAACTACCTTATGCTCAATGATGTCTAAGTCTAAGTTCGTGCTCATTGGCTTCAAGCACCAACTGAAACAGATTCAGAGCCAGTCTACAACACTTCGTATTGCTGGTGCAAAAATGATACCCTTTGAGTGTGCTCAGAATCTTGGTGTTGTTTTTCACTCAACTATGTGATAGTGTGTATCACAGCATTATATGTGATACACATAGCTCATATCAGTCATCAAAGCTTGCTACTGCATCATCTCCGAGAACAACAAAGTTCGTCACTTCCTTGATATGCAGACCAGCAAACTGTTAATGCACAGCCTTATCGCCTCGAAACTGACTACTGCAACACTCTTATAAAATGCAAGCATTACTACCAAATCCATTCAAAACCTTCAGAGAATTAAACAATCACCTGTCAAGTGTGTCTTCCGTGACTCTATATGATGACATCACTCCCTATCTCCGCTTGAATCAGCTTCAAGATTATCACCTTTACCCTTGGCTGCCTTTACAATGAACGTTTCCTCTTATGTCTATCAATAATCCTCAGCGAAGTCACCGATCCTCCAGTGATAACGCAACGAAAATCGCTAAAAGGACTATATGACCGTGCTTTCTGTTTCCGTAGAGCTAAGCTTTGAAGATCACTACCTAAAACAATCAGAAACACAGTTTCATGTCCCTCCAAATATCTCATGTCTTTGTGTCTGTACTTAAGTGCAATTGTCCGAGCCACCTGCCGTTATACCATACAACGGTTCAAACCATTTTAATCTTTTCATAGACCCACTGAGCCTATTTGAGGTGGATATTAGGCGCTGTTCAAATGTATTAATATTTTTATGATTTGTACAAAGTTTAAAAATCAAATCAAAGCTAAAATGAATGAATGATCCGGTGTGTTTGTACTAAAATGCATTTAAATATCAGAAAGAAGTGCACGTTCTTCAGTAAAACTGTTTTAGAAGTTCTCTATATTGCGTCATAACACGAAAGCGTCGAAATTTCCGCATATAGTTATTTGTAAAAACGACGGAAAATAAAAGTTGATTAATTGGTGAGTTTCTAGAAAGCGGAGAAAATCTGTCGTTAATTTCAAGCTTATAACGTAGGTTTCGTGTACACTAAATGCTGAATACACCTGTTATTAAATAAAAGTTATTTTCATAGTCTAGGTACTGCTGTGCGTTTAGATGATCTGAATCTCTGTGTTAGGAGAGTTTAATATCGCATTGTATCCTTCGGCGCCTACAGTCTCACATTTAATGCAAAAACCTGATTATAAAACCATTATTAGAAACCATCATTGTTTGATCGATAGCACTTGGAGTTTTATTGAAAACATTTAATCATTCAAAATGTCACGATCATTATGACTGAAAATTTCATAACAGCATTAAGCTCCAACCCCTTTGATCATTACATAACACATGATAGTGATTCAATTCACTTGCTTATTCTTTGTAGCTGACGTTTTGAACTTACATTAATAAAAAATGTATATTTCATATCGCCAAACACGTTTTGATGAGTGTTGTCAAGGATATCCTGTTTGAAGTTCTTTGGTGAAACTAATAAATAAACACGCCCTACTAAAAAAATACGGTTGCTTTATGAAGAATCTTCAAGGTTCTTTATCAGAGTTTGTTACATTTCCTTAATTTACCCTTTGCTAGCAAATTTTCTAATTTCGTCTTAAAAATCAGTGGGAACAAGATGGGGAGAGAAAATCAAAGAAACCCATCGGCTTTGAACTAGATTGCAACCCCAGTACCTCACACCATCATTTAACTTGTACACAAAACGCCACGACAGAACTAAAGGTATTTATCTGAGGCTATTAGTGCCAGATAGGTGGCACAAAGTGCTGGCCTTGAGCGTCTGTTGCAAGTGTTTTTGACTGTGAATCAAAGGAAGGACTTCGTGATTGATAGCCCTACAACCTCAAGTCTTGGCGAATCTTTTCACGACTCATCTTCACAAACAAATCCAATAAAGGAAAATAAGGCAAGTTTATAAGATTACCCCCAAGTATTACGTGGGGTGAAGGAATCAATGCATGACACGTGTGTAAAGTGATTACCAATATTATTCAAATAACGCATGTTTAAGGAAAAAGCCAATGTATGCTTTCAAGCACTTTGGTCTTCAAAACTAATACTGGATTCCTTTTAAGCTTTATGACAGCATTACTAGACAAGCAATAAGAGCATTGAAATAACTCCTTATCATTTGCCGAACTGTAAGTAGCGGTTGTGGGGGAATTAAGTCAAATATTTGATTACCTTACGTTTGTACTCCAAACCATCAAACATTTGATTATTCTCTAACGTGCTTATATATGGGCTTGCTTGCTTAGAGATTTTGCAGAGACAGTTCTGTTTCGTATCGATGTCATCGGGTACAATAGGTGATGTATCGATTCCAAATTTAATTGGATGATTTCCCCCTACGACAATAAAGTCTGTATTAGTCCAATACATTCGTCATACAGAGTTGATACAATCAGGACATACATGGTTATGTCGGACATGGGTCTGGGCACCTTTCTTAACATGCGACTGCCATTATTGCTGCGTGGGGTTATTCAGCAGCGTCGTGAATGAATACCATGTCTAGACGCAGAATGAAATATTCTTGATATAAAAATACCTTGGCATTACTGAAGGATATTTGTATTATGCCATGAAAAATTGGACGCATTTATCAGCCACGTTCTGTGTATATTCACGCGACTGATATATTAATCAGTCCATCAGTCATCGTTTGCTGCTTCTCTCGGATTCTTAGTTACAACATTTGTGTTCACGAACACATTTGTGCATTGATAACTAAAATGTTATGTTTGTTGAATTCAGTTACATTCATCTGTGTGTCTGTATATGCGTGTAACGTGGTGAGGGAGTGATGAGATAATCTACATTATTTCATTCGTTGATGATGACATCCCTCTGTACAACAAATTGCGGTGCCTAACACATTGGTGTGTACCCCTGCTTGCAATGTATAACTACATCTGGATGCCTTCAATAGAACCCGAAGTGATACAAGTCCTCGATGTTTGTTATGTGAAACCCATAGGGGCTTGTAAGGGCAAAATCAGGCATCAATGTATATACTGTCACTGACGGGGCCTTAGCACTATATAAAAGGGTCATTTTATTTTTATATCGTGCTAAGACCCCGTCAGTGATAGTATATACCTTGATGCCTGACTTTTTGCCTTACAAGTCCCTGTGGTGAAACCAGCAACTACGAATAAGGTGCTGACAAACTTAGAAACATATTTAGGTCGATCTGGGATTGGAACCCATGCAGCTGAGGGTCTTAATTCTGTAAAGCGAAGGGCAATGCCTAACCGAGACACCCTGCCCACATTCATGCTTGAACTTTGAATATCGTGTAGCAATACAGCTGTTGTGTCTGTTTCAGTGCCTTGCCCTTGAGTATGTCCCTAGCAGAGGTCAAGATGTACAATGCGTCTCAGCTACTGGAGAACATGCTAGTGGGTTACGACAAGCGGCTGAGACCTGGATTCGGTGGTACGTGTCTGCTGAACATTTTGTTTGTTTGATGACGAATCTCCCGGTAGAAATTAGACATATGCATGTAGGCTTTGGTTGACCTGACAGTGGTTGAAACGTTCAATGCTCCCCATATAATTACATGTCGTTATGCCATTTATTGTTTGGTATTGGTGGCTTATTGGAAAAGCAGCAAAAACCAAACTCATTCGGTTGACTCGAGTTGACCTCGAATGATGTCGTTTCGTACAAGTTGTGGCGTCGGTGTTCTTACGAGCATTCGTTGCGTTTTAGTAATTATTAAGAAAGGTTTGTCCCAATTTCTTCAGAACTCTTCATTCAAACTTTAATTTATTGTTTGAAATTTGTTAATGTGTTTCACAAATAAACAAATATTAATACCCACAGGAGATTCAATTTTTTACAAGGATATGAAAAGGACTAGCTTCATGGATCTTTATCGCACCACGTATGCTGGACTCTTAAATATCTTTATTCCGGAGTGTGAAGTACTTCCAAATCTCTTTGCTCGGTTAATATTGATAAAAGCGGAGATGTGTTGACGAGGCCATGTATGCCGCAATTAAATTAATGTCAATAAAAGGACAAATATTTATGCAAGGAAATAATTTTCCTCGACAGAACACGACTGGCACATTACCGAGGCTGCCTTTATCTATACAGAAGCAATTTGAAACCACATCAATCAGAACAATGTAACAATATACCACGATTAATATTATCGATAACACTTTATAGAATCATACATTACGATTGTAGAAGATGGACATTTATTAGTATTATCACAGTGAACTGAAGTGTCCCTAACCAGAGCAGTGAAGGCAAAACGGCCGGTTTCACTTGTTATCCAAATGTGAAGGAGATAAGGCATAAACTTTGAAGTTTTACTTTCAGTTTAACAAAGATATCGATCCCAAACTTGTTTTTTGAAAACGTGAATCGAACAAAACTTTGAAGCGAAGAGGATAAATACCCAAAAAACTATTTTAGATCGCCAGTTCTGTGGAATAACCTTCCCCGTATTGTCCAAAAGCTTTTCCATTAACCAACCTGCTTGCTGGCGATCCCTTCGCCAATGTTTTCCCTGGTTGAAAGGAAAATATTATTGCCCGGAATTCAAAATATTTCGACTCGACAGACTTTTGTTCCCGCGAATCCACTTAAAAGCACAGACTTCATTCGCTGGAAAATCAAACACATTGACTGCCTTAAGATACTGGGTTGGGATACTATAGAATCAATATGGCTTTGGAGAAACTATCTGGGTTCGTTTCCAGTCTGACAGGTTTCCGAACACTAAGAGTAGTCGTGCTTCGCTCAATGGAATTGTTACATGATCGCAATGAATATCGAAAATAAAGCCAGGATCTGTGACTGCATTCCAGCTTTCAAGTCTGGTCCAGGAGATGCTATTATGCACGACTAATCAACGTTTAACTCAATTATGAATTTAATGATGGAGAAAGCGAAGGCCATGGCAGTTACTGGAACATCATGAATAACATCAATATTAGTTATATCACAGTGTCCTTCAGAGCGGCAACAGATTTCACAGACGCATGTAGGCATAAGAAGCACTGGATAAACTCAGCTCAACGACAGTTACGCTGTCTCGTTTCAATGTGTATATGTGAATGTTTAGCCCTAGTCAATAAATATCAAGGCGGGGGACACTAATTATAGCCTCCACGTATCATTATTTTACCATGTACTGTAGTTTTCAGACTGACAAACAAATAGTTTAACTGTAGGAGTTAAGAACAAAGTAGGAAAAAATATGAAAAATATGAAACCTTCATTATATATTTCTGACAAATGTATGTTTGGGTCATGAACAGGCCTGTCCGGATTGACTGTGGAAGTAAATGTATGTATAGAATAGATTTCGACTGATTAACTTTTAAATAAAGTGAATGGGGAATACTTATCAAAAGGTTTTGTAGCATGATAAATACTTTTATATAAATTCTAGATGTGTTTCGTGTTTCATAGTGGTTCGAAAAAATGGTAATTTAGCTGAATGTATAAAGGTTTAAGAATGCAATGGGTAGAAATATGACTATTTGGTCCATAATGAAATTCGAACATAAATACATCAAGGACATTGCTATCGTTAGTTTTGTGTCCTCAAAGATTTACACGCACACGAATAAACAAGAAAGCAGTTAGTATATTGATAATCCCAATATGCAAAGTATCCCTATTCAAGTATTCCAGACAAGAATTACCCAATTAGCCTCGATAAAGAAAACCGGAAATGAGAATTTCGAGAAAACACGTTTTATGTGTTATCCAGCTGATTGGTCAGTTGAGACGGTCATTTTATGTGTTGACCATTACCAGTGGGTGCCCTTCAATGACAATCAAATGGTAAATGACCGCTATACTGAAGCCTTGAAAGGAGCGTTTGATGACCAGCATCTAATCTCATCAGTTCTAAGAGCTATGTTTGACCATGAACACGTCACATGGCTCGTCGTATAGCTATTTGGACCAGGCCACAGAGTCAACATGGTCTCTTCTGTGTTTACATAACATGACCCCTGACCTTGATCGATAGCCAATCGCGGGAGACAGTTATAAATAACTCCGGCTAGACTTCGACGACATCTAATGGTATGATTCACCAAATGTGACTTATAATTACACTACCAAATTTTATTCCTAATGGATACAATAATTAGATGTTCGTAACTGCAAAATGATGTGAGGTGTTTTCTAATACGTTCTGCAAAATATGCTCTCAGTTGTCCTAAGTTCGCATTATACACATTTTAAACTGCACACGATATGTCTGTGTCCTATTTTCACGTTTTATTATTAAAATTAGTATTAAAAGTCAGCAGTAAAGTACAACAATATGTAACACACCGATGTTATATTGAAAGGATGCGGTTGGGTTAGTTTGGGAGGGCATCAATGCACTGGACGAAAGTCCAATGTTCACAACTGGTTTTCCTATGGGACTATTTGGGCACATATCGCCTGACAGGAATAAATATAAGTGAGGAGTTTAAGTGTGCTTCTTTCGGTGACTTTTTAGAAATGGGTATGCATAAGAGGAACACATTCTTTATTGCAGTGTATGCGACGTTTCGGTGTAGGTGTTAATAGCGTTATCAAGCAAGTGATGCACTGCATTATACTGACTGACTGACTGAGTTTAGTTTTACACCGCTTTTAGAAATATTCCAGCAATATCACGGGGACACCAGAAATGCGCTTCACACATTGTGCCCATGTGGGGAATCGAACACGGGTCTTCGGCGTGACGAGCCAACGCTTTAACCACTATGCTACCCCACCGCCCCCTGCATTATACAGAAAGAAATATATACATGAAGGATAATTGACAGGTCGATGTGCAGTGGGATGACATAACTAATGTCTCAGTGCGTGAGTGAGTGAGTTTAGTTTTGAGCTGCTTTTTAGCAATATTCCAGCAATATCACGGCGGGGGACACCAGAAATGGCCTTCACACATTCTACCCATGTTGGGAATCGAACCCGGGTCTTCGGCGTTTCGAGCGAACGCTTTAACCACTAGGCTACCCCACCGCCCCTTATTACTAATGATGTTGTGTTTATAGATAATGGTTATGAAGCCAGGTGGACAAAGGGTACTGTTGATTGGCTTTGATTAGATGATGGTGGTGGTGGTGGTGGAATTGGGTTTAACGTCGTGCTTGAGATTATTTCGCTCATATGACGACGTGCATGCGTGTGTATGTGTATGTGCGGGTGCTTGTATTAGCCCAGACTGAAGCTGGTTTTATAGTGCTAGCCCACTGAGATACCATGCCGCAGTGAAGCATGAATACCCCACTCAGACACATTATACTGACTCCGAGCCGACCAGTCCTTGTTGTACCCATTAATTCCGAGCGTCAGGCAGGGACCAACAAGTACCATATTTTAACGTCTTTTGGAATGACGTGGTCGGGGATCGAACCCGCGACCTTCCGCTCTCCCGGCGCAAGCTCTAACCACTACATCACGGAGGCGGTCAGATGATGGTACGTGTAGGGATGTAATAGCTTTGAAGTGCTGTGATACACCAGTTGTCCTAATCTTCATTTGGTGTTGAAGACCACTTTCGACCACTGATGTCTAGTTTGGAATGTCCTCCACATGTCCACCACAGTATTTTAAAGACATTAAGAACCCAAACACCTTTCATACGAGAGTCGTATAACTGGCTTTCAAATCTTAGAAGAAACGGTGTCCTTGATTGTAGGGGGTTTACACTGTAAGTTATCGAAACAGGTTTTCCTTGTAATCGAGTGAGAGTATGAAAAGCATTTCTGACCTTAACGCGGAAAGACACAAGAGTCAGAGAGGCGTGATAAGTATCACAAGGTAGGACTGACACTGATCCAGTAGGATCATCTCGTCACTATATCTGCTCACGTGATCATACATGCGTAAGAATACACAATTCGCCTGACCTCGGGGTCATGTCGCTGCAAAGGAAGACGCCTCTGGGAGGATGCAGGAAAGATTATGAGATTCTAGCAACCACTTTGTCCAATTAGTTGCAAATATCAAGAATAACATCTTAACAATGGCTTCATCTGTTTGTTATATGATCTAATCTGGTTTGTCTTTTATTGCAGGGAAGCCGTTAGCGGTGATGATCTATATCAATCTACGATCGATGGGGCCTATATCGGAATTAGACATGGTAAATGATACTGGATTTAACCTATCTGAGATCAATACTGTAATGACAGAGCATCGCGAGGGATGCTGTTCCCTTTTATCCTGTCACCAGGAAGCTGGAAAGGATGACGCTGACACATCTCAGCTGCTAATACCATGAGGACGGCGATGAAAATGCCTAATATCAAAGAAAATTGAAATCGAAAACTGTTCTTTTTTCCTTTACAAATTCCAAATGATTATTACAAGGGTATTATTATTTCTAAAGTGTGATGCTTAAAGCCTTGTTGCCATTGACAACCCAGTGTGAAAATATCTCTTGAAATCGTTTAGACAAATTTGTTGGTTAAATTTCATTGTCATTTTCAAATAGTCATGTTTCCGATAACTGGCACGACTTAGATACAGATCGATGGAGATGAAGGCTTGTTGCAAATCATCCGACATAACTCTGTATATTTTTATTTGGCGAGATTGCAAAGTTTTGAAAGATATATTTGTGTTGAAGGATTAACATTCTGTCCGGATGTTTTACTTCATTGAAACCGTGGAAACTTAAAAGAGATTGAAATCTTCGGAAATAGAGAATTAGGGCCTTTAGTAATCTTTCACATGCAGCTGATTACCATTTCGAATATCAAGAAGAATGTTATCATCGATTGCCCACAGAATTCCTTTTGTACAGCGAAACAAAATGTATGCCTAATATGTGAATATTGGAAAGGAAAATATGATTATGTCTTTTCCTTCTTTAAGATCAGACAGATTATGAAAAATGAACACACTTTACTAAACTTTGAAAAAGGTTGTTTGTACTATCTATGGACGGTTTATGATCTTGGTTTTGTATGGGTTCCGCATGTCTTACTAATGTTGGTGTTGTATGGGCGGCAAATGCCTTAGTGATGTTGGTGTTGTCTTGGCAGCGTATGCCTTACTGATGTTGGTGTTGTATGGGCAGCGTATGACTTACTGATGTTGGTGTTGTCTTGGCAGCGTATGCCTTACTGATTTTGATGTTGTATGATCGGTGTATGCCTTACTGATGTTGGTGTTGTATGGGCAGCGTATGCCTTACTGATGTTGGTGTTGTCTTGGCAGCGTATGACTTACTGATGTTGGTGTTGTATGGGCAGCGTATGACTTACTGATGTTGGTGTTGTATGGGCAGCGTATGACTTACTTATGTTGGTGTTGTATGGGCGGCGTACGTCTTACTGATGTTGGTGTTGTATGGGCGGCGTATGACTTACTGATGTTGGTGTTGTCTTGGCAGCGTATGCCTTACTGATGTTGGTGTTGTATGGGCAGCGTATGACTTACTGATGTTGGTGTTGTCTTGGCAGCGTATGCCTTACTGATGTTGGTGTTGTATGGGCAGCGTATGACTTACTGATGTTGGTGTTGTATGGGCAGCGTATGACTTACTGATGTTCGTGTTGTATGGGCAGCGTATGCCTTACTGATGTTGGTGTTGTCTTGGCAGCGTATGCCTTACTGATGTTGGTGTTGTATGGGTAACGTATGCCTTACTGATGTTGGTGTTGTCTTGGCAGCGTATGCCTTACTGATGTTGGTGTTGTATGAGCAGCGTATGACTTACTGATGTTGGTGTTGTATGGGCGGCGTATGACTTACTGATGTTGGTGTTGTCTTGGCAGCATATGCCTTACTGATGTTGGTGTTGTATGGGCAGCGTATGCCTTACTGATGTTGGTGTTGTCTTGGCAGCGTATGCCTTACTGATGTTGGTGTTGTATGGGAAGCGTATGCCTTACTAATGTTGGTGTTGTATGGGCGGCGTATGACATACTGATGTTGGTGTTGTCTTACGCCGTAAATTGAATGAACTGACAAGGCAGTTAGACATTTAGTTACGGGATACATTATATAACCTATATCTCCGTAACTCGTGTAACAATACTCACCATACGAAAGATAAGGCAATCATTCCTTCCTTGCATTCAGCCTGAACAAGCCACATCACTTTAAAAAATTAGAGCCTATTACCCAAGGGGGTTTCCTCATGAATGCGTCAATAAGAAGCAATGAAGTAATAAACTCTTAAGTTAGAGGGAAGAGGTTTGCCCGACGCCGATGAGTGATGAGCGATGGGGTAAACAGGGCTCTTGGGGATGCTGCAATGTATTATCAACAAACAGTCATTATAGGCAAGGCTGATGACACGTGAGAACTATCACTTACACAAAGTGCCTACCGTCATTTCAGTATAACTTAGCCGACTTACCGTATGGTTGTGGTGCCTCCTATCCTACAACTCCCCGTAAACATTTCCCTGGCGTTTGTTTTGTTTTACTTGTTTGTTTGTTGTTTTACGCCGCACTCAGCAATATTCCAGACATATGATGACGGTTTATAAATAATCGAGTCTGGACCAGACAATCCAGTGATTACCTGACCACCCGATCCCGTTAGTCGCCTCTAACGACAAACATGGATTGCTGAAGACCAATTCTCACCCGGCTCTTCACGGGTACCATCCTCAAGTGATAAAAACATCGACACATAGTATTTCTCCACTGAATATAGTTGTCGACAATTATACATGAACTGGGCCTATTTACTAACATAGTTTCCGATTCACAATAGTCGTGGAATCGATTACAATGACCTAAACTATCACTGGAGAGAGAAATCTTGTTCGTAGCTGGACATAGACACACTGGTGATAGTCACACATGTTACATGTGGGCTTACATCTTTTCAGTAAATCAGTAATGTACACATTTTAATACTTTTGTTGGGTTGAGTCCCATCCAGGATTCGAACCCACACTCTCAGAATCAGGCACCTTATCGCCACTTTGGAGATGAAACTATGGTGGCCAATGGGCGCAGAGTATTGATATAAGTAGAAACACTTTTCAAAATCGTTTTCCACACACTGATGGATATGTACTTAGTGTCATATGCCGTAAGCTGGTGGTTGTTAGTTCTCCAGTTCTGTTGTAGTTCACACCTTATATCTTGTCACCGAGCCATCCCATACAACCACCTGCATATCCAGGCGCTAAATCAACACCCTTACCAACTTCTCACCACTCTTACAACTACCCACACAGTTTACATTTACGCACACCTCAACCATTCACCCAACAATCCACTCATCCGTCCAACGGACCGATGTTACAAAATCCCCACAAACACACACTTAGTTACCCAACTGATTTACATCGACTTATATAGCCCTTCTACACATTGTTTTACCCATTTCAAAAGGGGATTGCTGGCTTGAGTAGCCTTTACTCTGCCCGTTCCAACCTGGGCCAGTCTTTCTCGAGATATGTTTACAGAAGAAACCATGCACGTCGTCAGTTGTCACAAGTTGATGTTTACGTAAATGAGCTTTTACGCTGCTTCCGCTCCAAACGCTCTGCCTCTCTCCTGAAGCTACCACTAAGATGGCCTCCCCAACTGTTTCAGGTTTACACTCTGGACTGCTACTTCCGGCAAACCTGGTATGATAAACGCTTGTCCATGAACATATCGCTGGAACACCTCCCTCTGGGTATCACCATTCTAGAACGGATTTGGCATCCTGACACCGTCTTCTACAACGGCCAGAACTCCTACCTCCACACCATCACGACGCCCAACAAATTTGTCAGGATCAGTCCTAATGGGAACGTCCTCTACTCACAAAGGTAATTCCGAAGGCTAATGACAAATCTTGATCTTGATATGATCATGACAAGATGTATTACTTCTATTCAAAGTAAGGACATGACAAATGGATAGACTTTGAGCCTTCGAGGAAACAGCATAAATATCACCCAATCAACACGATTAAATACTAGTTCTCTTGATAAATGATACACATCTTGAGGCAGGGGGTGGCCCAATCATTGAAATCGTAATTTGTTTTGCAAGGTTGCGTCCCTTAGGCGAGACAATTATGGTCGTGAGTTCGAATCCTGGTTGTTCCAATCCTTTTGTTTGTGTTTATATATAAACGCGTGAGAGTTCCATCTCTTCAGGCTCCCCCACACCAAGCTGCTATAACTGCTATAATGTTTCAAACAGCCGTAAACTAAACCCAGTTATTGCCAAGAGACCCAATACAATAAAGAAACAAAATATTAGATTATCAAACGAGTAGGTGCTACTTTAGGCGCGCCTCTGTGCCTTGATTTTAAATCGAATATGTCTGTCTGGCTGCGACCTTCCTAACATATAATGTCCAATTATTGATTATATGTACAATTTACAAGATGTAAATGGTTATAAACATCCCTTGGAATCAATTGCAATTAAGGCTACAACATTCTTGCCTATTTCTGGCAAGCCCATTTACGGAATTAGAACCATTTTCTTATTGGAAAGTAACTACCCCTGAGGAGGTCGATCACAGAGAGTCGTTCACATTATGCCTTCGTCATGGTTGCTGTCGAGCCATGTACTTTTCTAGGTTTGTGTTTCGGATATTAGTATACATCCTGATAATAGGTCAATGCAAAAATAGATACACAGATAATTACAACAACGGAGTCTTGGTGATCTGTTTGGTTTGGTCACATTCTTAAAGGCAAAATAGCGGTGACACCCTTATGAATACTAGAAGTCAGATATAAGTCAAATGTTCTAGACGATAAGTAAGTCCAAACTTATCGGAAGTGACTACGTATGAAAAAATAAAAATGGGTAGGCTGGTGTGTCCAACCCTGTTGTGGATATTCCTGTCGAAATGGCATCCGATATTCGAAATAACTTCAAACTATAACTAAATGCACATAAATGTAGAGGACTTAAAGAATATTAACGATGGGAATATATGAATGATTGCATTATTTAATGTTAGATCAATCAATCTATGAAAAGGGTAATTAACCAACAAAGAGAAAAAGAAAGCGGAACTATCAATAGAGGAGGAATAGTCGAACACACGACAGATAATTTGATATACACACGGTCGAAAGATCTATATACTGTGACAATTGTATTGATTAATTGTTTGATCGATATATGAACTGAGGTCAGGACCAAAGAACGTACAGGTGCATAACAGATGGATACCAGCACATTAATAGATATCAGCAGGCCAGTAGACACTTTCTATTACAGCGTCGGTGATGCCTCGCGGTGTGCCATTATCCGTCCGTCATGAAGGAACTAGTTTAGTTGGACTTGAGGGACTTGGAATTATTATACACATGATTTCTTCTTGCGTGCTTCCAAAGATTAAACAACATCAACTCCGTTTAGGATGAAGCCTAATGGTATGGAGAATGAGATTCTAAACAGGGGGATCAGTTAACAAAACAGACACGTTTGCTTTGGGACCTCGAGAAAGAAGTCTTCATTTTTCAGAATGTAATTTTCAGTTTGTCACTTATTTTGAAGGTTACTGACATGCTGTCTGGCACTGGTGGCGTAAATGGACGTCATGCCACGTGTGATGTACAAATCACCCAATTCCATATATCACAAAGCATTTTGGTATGCGTTCCTTGGCAAACAAGTGGTGTAAATTGTGGAAGTTAGAACAGAACGCCATCCGCCTTTCAGCTACATTCATGTAGCATATGCCTTTCATGTCAAACGGTCAAGACTTTGATTTACTCGACCTCGAGTCTTCACGGGCCAACCTAAGGTGACTCAGACGGTTTGGTTCCCAAGGCTGTTTGTATTTGTGTCGGGTTTGAAACCTTACTACATGTAGTTGTTGTTCGGGTGGCGGTAGTGAAAACATAGTATTGTATTGCACAGCATCACTGAATGGAGAATACCCCTGTTCTGTGGTGGTGCTGGGATGATATTACAAGTCTATGTATTATTCACCCAGTACTATAACATTTATATCAATACTGTCTTTAGGAACTCGACTCTTGGTCCATCAAACCAGTGGTCAATAGTATGAGCAGCCCATTTGTGACACGCAACCAGCAAGCCACGGAGCCTAATCGACAAATGTCTAGTGCTTCGACATATTGTACCTTTGGTTGGCACAAAACAACCTTCAAAGAAATTGATGTTAAGTGGCAACACTCAACGGTGATAACACTTTGTTAAAGGTTTTTTGTTGACACTCTACTAAACGGAATCAAAATATATTAATAACAGTGTTAAACATAGTTATTGTAACTGCCACCTGAAAGGGACTGGTTGCTTGTTTCTGTACAGGCTGACGATCCGGGCAAGCTGTGTGATGGATCTGAAGACGTTCCCTTTGGATATTCAGAGCTGTCCGCTTTTCTTCGGTAGCTGTAAGTATATATCACCTGACTGGCACTGCATGCTACAACTGTGGTGTTGGAAGCATGCAGTTCTAGTGACCTTTCATTTCAAATTTGAAAGTCTATAACCTGTAACTTGCGTTCGTCTTGTTATGTTATGCTTTCCGTCATATGTGAAAATATGAGACTTCAGTTGTCTCTCGTGTTCAGCTGTTACATGTTTCAATGTGTAAACCTTCAGCTCGCCTTCGCGTTTGACTGTTATGTGTATAAATTAGTAAATACTAGTATTCAGCTATCCCTCGTGTTCGACTGTGACGACTGTGACGAACCTCAGTATGTAAACCTACAGCTGTCCCTAGTGTTCAGCTGTAACGCGTGTAGTATGTAAGCCTACAGCTGTCCCTAGTGTTCAGCTGTAACGCGTGTAGTATGTAAGCCTTCAGCTGTTCCTAGTGTTCAGCTGTAACGCGTGTAGTATGTAAGCCTTCAGCTGTCCCTAGTGTTCAGCTGTAACGCGTGTAGTATGTAAGCCTACAGCTGTCCCTAGTGTTCAGCTGTAACGCGTGTAGTATGTAAGCCTTCAGCTGTCCCCCGTGTTCAGCTGTAACGCGTGTAGTATGTAAGCCTTCAGCTGTCCCCGGTGTTCAGCTGTAACGCGTGTAGTATGTAAGCCTTCAGCTGTCCCCGTGTTCAGCTGTAACGCGTGTAGTATGTCAAGCCTTCAGCTGTCCCTAGTGTTCAGCTGTAACGCGTGTAGTATGTAAGCCTTCAGCTGTCCCTAGTGTTCAGCTGTAACGCGTGAAGTATGTAAGCCTTCAGCTGTCCCCCGTGTTCAGCTGTAACGCGTGTAGTATGTAAGCCTACAGCTGTCCCTAGTGTTCAGCTGTAACGCGTGTAGTATGTAAGCCTTCAGCTGTCCCCCGCGTTCAGCTGTAACGCGTGTAGTATGTAAGCCTACAGCTGTCCCCCGTGTTCAGCTGTAACGCGTGTAGTATGTAAGCCTTCAGCTGTCCCCGGTGTTCAGCTGTAACGCGTGTAGTATGTAAGCCTTCTGCTGTCCCTAGTGTTCAGCTGTTACGCGTGTAGTATGTAAACCTACAGCTGTCCCTAGTGTTCAGCTGTAACGCGTGTAGTATGTAAGCCTACAGCTGTCCCTAGTGTTCAGCTGTAACGCGTGTAGTATGTAAGCCTTCAGCTGTCCCCGGTGTTCAGCTGTAACGCGTGTAGTATGTAAGCCTTCTGCTGTCCCTAGTGTTCAGCTGTTACGCGTGTAGTATGTAAACCTACAGCTGTCCCTAGTGTTCAGCTGTAACGCGTGTAGTATGTAAAGCCTAAAGCTGTCCCTAGTGTTCAGTTGTAACGCGTAGTATGTATGTAAACCTACAGCTGTCCCCGTGTTCGCGTTCAGCTGAACGCGTGTAGTATGTAAGCCTACAGCTGTCCCTAGTGTTCAGCTGTAACGCGTGTAGTATGTAAGCCTTCAGCTGTCCCTAGTGTTCAGCTGTAACGCGTGTAGTATGTAAGCCTACAGCTGTCCCTAGTGTTCAGCTGTAACGCGTGTAGTATGTAAGCCTTCAGCTGTCCCCCGTGTTCAGCTGTAACGCGTGTAGTATGTAAGCCTTCAGCTGTCCCCGGTGTTCAGCTGTAACGCGTGTAGTATGTAAACCTACAGGTGTCCCCCGTGTTCAGCTGTAACGCGTGTAGTATGTAAACCTACAGCTGTCCCTAGTGTTCAGCGGGGTGGTGGAATAGCCAAGTGGTTAAAGAGTTCGCTCGACACGTCGAAGACCCGGGTTTGATTCCCCACATAGGTACAATGTGTGAAGACCGCTTCTGGTGTCCCCCGCCGTGATATTACTGAAATATTGCTGAAAGCAGCGTAAAACCAAACTCACACGCACACTAGATTCATTCACTGAAACAAAGCCTTCAGCTGTGACATCTTACAGTATGTAAGCCTTCAACAGTCGCCCGTGTCCAGGTGTTACATCTAACAGTATGTAAGCCATCAACTGTTTCTCGCCCCCTACTGCTAAAGTGTGAATGACACTGGACCGCCAGCTACACGTCTACCGTTATGCCTACAGGAGATATCACATCCTAAAGCTGTCACTGGTAATTTACAGAACGGTGAGAGCACATGACCGTGTTCGTGTAAGGAGTATCGAAAATGTTTTATGCATCTGACGTAAAGGGTATCTTTTCGCTTTTACGTTCTCTGCCTTCAGTAACAAAGGACCATGAATTATATATGCTCATTTTGTCAAGGCCGATCGTAGCTGAAACCACTAGCATTTTACGACGATTGCCTATTATATACGCTGCAATATAACATTTTATGAATACAACTGAATGTTCGAATATATCATATCGTACATAAACCTATTCTCACTACGCGTCTCCTATTAATTCGAACCTCCACACCTTACGACTATAACCAGTTGTGATACAATCAGTGTCTTCAAGAGGATTGTTCGATTTTCACTTAAGGTGCCCAAAGCATGGCAATTTCACTCACAGGAAACTCAGGGTGATGATTTATGACCGTTTGGTTTTATTTGTGAGGGTATATACTGACCTCCAAAAGAAACGAGAATCTCATAAAACTTTTATTCAAAACACAAATGAGGCAACTTTCATTAGAATAAAGACATCAATCGAGTGCAAATAATTTTTAGTTTACATGAGATTAAATATCCCTTCTTAGATAAAACATTCCTGTTGTTACTCGCGTGTTAGCGGCGTCGTAAAAGGCGCTTTACTGGTACGAGTATTGGAGCCATTACTTCGGTTTATGAGCTGCTCTCGGGAATTCTTACAAGATGAAATCATGGCAAGTTGCGCTTATATTACATGTTGAAATGATACTTGATGTGTTTAAGCGTCTTATTGAAGTTGACACTCGGGTGCATCAGTTGCCCAAGATATGTGTCTCTCAGTTTTAACTATCTAACATCTACTCAGTGAGTGGTGGCACAATAAACTGCAAACACACGTTACTAGTACAGAGAGGGGGTTCTTGTTTGATTTTATAGAGAAAGGGCAAGTTCTTGTTTGATTTTATAGACAAGGAAAGAACTCATTTGACGCTATATGATAAATTAGTCACACACTTACACACACGCACGCACGCAGACACGCACTCACGCACGCACACAAGATTCATTTGAATGTTAATTCATTCAGGGAAATTACGACGGAAACATCAATTATTGTAAACATAACTTATATGATGATAAGATCAATCCCCGCTTGTGTTTTCGTCTTGTAATAACTTAAAGGATTAAAACACCTGCATTATGCTCACAAAGCGCTTCAATGTCTACTTTTATTCCTAACATATAATAATGAGAAACATTCAGCTAATAATCTCTATAGTCTTCATTTGAACTTACCTCTAATTTTAAACTGATATCTCGTGGTATAAATGTAATATAAAAGGCACAAAAAATATACAGGTAAAAAATATATAGGCAATTGAAAATTGAAAGGACTGTTGTGAAATTTGATCATGCCTATGTAACCATCAATCATTTTTTTACAACAGTGTGTAAAAAGATATCTATGGCTTTGTAAATCTGTTAAAAATAAATATTTTCGATGAACCTTGGGTAAAAACGGAATTCGTTTGAAATGTAAAAGTGGAAAGAAAAAGAAAATATATTGATTTGACATATAAAACATCTAAGATTCTCATCAGCGGCTGTGTATTTTGCGAACTGATGAAAGATCAAAAGTTAAAAAATGAAATTAATTAAAAAATATAACCATGTAGAAGTATTCTTTGAGTGCTGTCTAAGCACAAGTATATTTTTTATCATATCATATTGCTAACTTAAGTTATCTTTTTTTGAAAATCAAATAGATAAACTCAGTCAAGCGGTATAGTTTATTTTGTCCTCAGTTTTCAACTTCAATTTATTGAAAGTAAGTTGATATGTATAGATTATAACAATATACATGACTGTTTGGTAGTATGTTGGCATTTCGTTGTTATATTAGGCATTGTCATATTGTTGTGCACTGTTTTATATTTTCAGTTGCGTATTCTACTGAAGACGTTGTATATCAGTGGCGTTACGGTAAAGATGGAAAGTCAGTGGAATTTGGGAAAGATATCTGGTTGTCTCAGTTTGATCTTATTGGGAGTCCACTGTCGAACTATACAGGCAACATCAAAGGAGGTATGTACATACTGTATGTCTACTTTGAAAACATGTACCTACGTGCTTTACATGGTAGATCTGCATTCAGCAAAATTAAATGACATATATTTGTAAATTAACACCTTTTAAGAATTTGCTTTGAAAAGGAGAAGGTAGGATAAGGGTACCCTTGTGCCCACAATGATGAAGCTGTCATATGAAAGAGAAGCGGTCTTTCTTCTTTTCAACAAAGGTTTTGGGCAATGGTTGTAAGGATTTAACAAAAGGATCCTATTCAAATATATAATATTTTAACAAAGACATATCTTTGACCCATGCAAATTTGTATAGGAAATATAGATGGCACTATCAAAATCTTGACGTAAAAATTCATATTTGGTCTTGCTTAAATTTTCATTTAAAGATCGACGAAAAATCTTCGTCTTACCTTTGGAATCTTCATGTCAGAGGTCCATTAATAACGGAGTGGTATCCATTAAACCTCAATAGACCCAAACGAACAAAACAATCATCAAAAGATGTCCATAAAATATATTTCTTTTGCATTAACCGAATCAATGATCACTTAAAGATCCACTGTATGAAGTCAGATTCGTCTATTGATACCATTTATGTTTCCCCAATGCATCGTTTCGATTCGGGTGAAACAAGCAAGTCATAACTATCAGTGTACCCAAACGTCACATTAATAACATAAAGAAGTTACAAAACACCAGTCAAGTCATTATATATTGGCAGCTTCTAAACCTCACTGTCGATATGCTTCACTACATTATCAATACACACGGTCTGTTCCAGCTCCCCACACGATCCTGAACGTGAAGTTCCATCTGTACCGACACGCTGGCTACTTCATCATCCAGGTGTACGTGCCATGTGCCTTACTCGTTATCCTGTCCTGGGTGGCCTTCTGGATCAACAGGGAGGCCACGGCCGACAGAATCGCTCTAGGTGAGACAGGATCGACACAGCTGCATTTATCGCCTTAACACTCATTACCGTCGAAGCATATATAATCAGGAGTACTTCAACATAAAGGCAAACTTACCAGCTTGCATTGTCACTAGAAGCAATGTCATGTTGTGTGCACATCTTCCAATCAAACCTAGGTGCACTGTCATCATTGATATGTATCATTCCATAGCGGAATTATAGCTAGTTGCACTGTTTTCACGGACATGACAAGCCTTCACAGTACAATTAAGTGTACTGTCATGGGGAGGCAGCATTCCATAGTAATTTACAGTTAACTGACACAGATGCTTACACAGACTTCCATAGCCACAACGATAGACAGTAACACTAGGTGCACTTTCATCATGGGAAAAAATATCATGCTTTTGGAAAACAAGGTGCTTTCATTGTCAAACTAGATACATTACCACCTAGTTTGCACGCCTGTCAAGGTAGAACTAGTAGCACTTTCATCATGGCTTGCACACTTCTCACAGCAAAATTAGGTGTAGTGCCATCATTTATATGCATCATTCCATAGTAAAACTAGGTGTACTCTTATCACGGACACGACAAGTGTCCATAGCAATACCAGGCCATTATGGGCAAGGCAGCATTCCCAAATGTTGCATGGTACACTCTCATTACGCTTGCACAGGCTTCCATAGCAACAAAAGATGCATGTCATCAAAGGTTTCTCAGTCATCATGCTGCAAAACCAAGCGCGCGTCAAACATTAGTAGCACAGTCTTCCACTGGCAAATTGGATGCACTTTCATTTTTACTTGCACAGTCTTCGACAGCAGAAACAGTTGCACTATCGCCATGACTTGCACGTCATCTATAGCAAAAATGGCGCACTTTCATCATGGGTTGCACAGCCTGCCATTTGAAATATTTGGAACCTTTCACAGCACAACTGGTTGAACTGTCATCTGCCTTCCATAGCATTCCACAGCCCAACTGGTTGCACTGTCATCTGCCTTCCATAGCAATCATAGCACAACTGGTTGTACTGTACTGCATCCATAGCATACCATAGCACAACTGGTTGCACTGTCATCTGCCTTAAAAACCTTCCACAGTGTGTGTTCCTTCCGTCAGTAAATATTCCATACCAAAGTTTAATGAACACTAATCTACAAATCTAGAAGGGTGCTATTCGTTAGAATACACATGTATGTGCTATATGAATCAATCAAGACAACGAAGGAATGTAACAATTGTCACGACATACAACTGTTACATTAATTCACACATTATTATTATTTAAAGGTCACATAAAACCCTAGGGGTACAAATACATAAATCACTAACTGGCATCGTTATAAATGAAACCCCGTCATTAAAACTACTCATTTCGACCTTTAATTGACTTAAATCGACCTTTTGACAACAGTGCACAATTCTTACCCGCGAACGAAATTTCAACCAATCAGAGAGGCGCGTCTCTGTGACGTCATATGAGGAATAGCTTTGAGGGCCGATGCAGAATTCATCTACATTTTAGGGGTAAAATTATCTTGTTTTACAGGCTTGTATAAACCTGAAATCGTGACAATTGTTGTGGAAAATGAAAGCTATATGTTCTCACAATCTACTGTCATTTAATTTTGTCTCCTGCTTTGCCTAGTTTCCGAGTTACAACTTGTTTTCATAGACGATTCTGTCAAAATCGATCGGTGTCGTTAAGGCCCTGTTTGTATAATGACTGATCCAAATTGATCCCATTTCTGTGTTTTTACCTCGATATTTAATCATGTCATGTAAAAATCTGTTTGTATTCTCAAAGAGCATTGTCGGCCCATAAGTTTTCCACATGCAATACAGCAATTAATACTCCTTTGTTGTAACCCGTGTTAGGTGGTATAAACCTACATATGTTATTTGTCATCATTCACTTGATGGTCAGTTAATGAATTTATAACAGGTATATAATTAGTGGTAACACACTTAGATTACCTGACAAAGGTTCCCATTTGGCATTTCTTGTGTCTGGAGTAAATATTCAACATTATTAACATCGATCAAAGGATTAACCGATAACACGCTGATTGATTAATTACTTTTATCTTATACAGCGGAATTGTCAAAGGTAGTGTTTATGTATGTAGATTTACTAATCTATACTGAATACACTCTGTTGTTGTCGGTTCTGCGTAAAAACAACGTCCTTCTTTCTGGACTTGGTTGCCACACATGTCATTATTGGCTAACTAATTTACTGTTTTTAAAGAAAGGCGGACAGATCGATGGTCATACTGTTGATTACGACTCCAATTCCTTTTTATCACTTTCAAATATGAGAAGACACATATCAGTTTTGTGGATTGATGTTCCTCGAACAAGGTAATGGCCTGATATTGATAACTTTGATCTGTTTTAATTCCATTTGTCGTAATTCAACAGAATCATTGTTTTCGCCGTGAATGTAATGATTAGGGTGTGTGTGCGAATTATGATTCACATGGCAAAACTATAAAATGTCTAGATATTACAGGTTCTGTTATAAATTCACTATAAGTATCAGCAGATCGTCTGCTTTATATTTAGTTTCAAAATGATAAATATGATAACAAACTGGATTATAAGACCAAATATAAAGACGCACATTGACTAGTATCTACATACTGGTGAGTGGACATTAACCATGGGAATGTAGCAAGAAATGTTTGCGTATTGGACTTCGACCCCCACCTCGCTTCCGTGGAAGAAATCGTTATATGTTGTGTCATGCAAAAAATCCGTTTGGTTAGATCCAATACATATTTAACACGATAGAAAGTAGTTTTGATTTTCTATATATTTACGATTTTCAAAATGGCTTTGGAAGGTTTGTTTTCACCGAAAGTTAGCAAAACTACTTTTACTGGTATTAAAATATGTATTTGATTGATGGCTGTATGGTGGCAGCGAGGTAATGGAGTCAATATAATACCACTTACAATATTATTGTTCACTTCCGAGGAAGAAACGTTATGTTATTGTGTCATGGAAAATCTTTATGGTCATCAATCATATACATATTTTACTACAACTAGTAAGTAGTTTTGATTCTTTAACTTCCGTGAGGCGATCTGAACACAAGTAAGATATCGTTTCAGGCTTCCACAACGCTCGCTTCGCACTCACAAACATAACCCATTTAGCACGAACTGCGGGGTCCTGTGGAAATCTGTGCATGGTGACACCATCGCCATTACGACAAAGCAACGATTCGGCATGTCGTCGTTCATGTCGACATCAAAATGATGAGCGTGCTAACTTATACAACTAACTGAAAATCTTTCCTCATCAGTTGCTCTGAACGTAACCTGTCTGTGGTTTCGTTGGCGGGCGAGAGGGAAGCAGGCGACTTTTTGGCCACTTTTAATCGCTCGGTATTAATTAACCACAAGTTTTTAAAGAATAAATTTGGTGTTCCGCATAAGACTAACTACAAATCTTTCATATGTAATGGTTAAAAGAGTAACAAAAACAAAGTTTAGTGGTTCTTTAGGGACACCATCACCAAAGAAGACTCGCATTTAATGCCCATATACCATATATTCATATAATAATTCTATTTGGTATATTGACCCTTCAGACACCCTCATCATTATTTCTGATTTAATACCTTGAAATAATAACATTGACTTTAACGTTGTCTATAATCAGACGTGTTATGTACAGTAATGTCCTGTCAATGTTTTGAGAAGGCCCTAGGCTATCAAAATCGACTGTATACAGCTTTTGGTCATCACACTAAAGGGGTTTGATTCCTCCCATGGATGCATTTCTCGCTTTAGCCCAGCAACATAGTGCCCACCAATGTGATAATCTTGGTATCATCAAATATGCAAATCAGGTCACGAAGTAGGAACTATATTCAAGATCTATCACGACGAAGGAAATTATCTTCCTGATTGGAAGAAGCGTTTTTCTGTCTCTCAAACCCAAGCTTGACATTATTCCCTTTCACTATCAAATATGCTTTTGAGTTAGATAATGGTTGTCTATCCGTCACCTCTTCACCAGAAACACCACAGCCACACTGATGAGATCCCTAGTATTGTCACGGTTAGACTACTGCAATTGCCTCTTGATTGGTATTACCAACGACCAACTTCACAGACTGCAGAAGCTGCAGAACACCGCCACCAGGATTATCACACGCACAAAACTATCAAGTCATATCCAACCTGCATTGAAGTCCCTCCACTGGTCGAGAATCAGAGAAAGAATAGAGTTTAAGATTTTAACTCTAACTTACCAAGCACTAAATGGAACAGCATCACTCTATCTCCAAGCCCTTGTCTCACCCTACGTCCCACCGAGGAATCTCAGATCTGCCGATCAATCACTTCTTGTTGTGCCTCGATATAAACTCAAAACTTTCGGACATAGATCCTTCAAACATTCAGCTGCTTTCTTGTGGAATTTTCTCCCTACAGACAATAAATCTGCTCCAACTCTCTCAAGTTTTAAATCTCATCTAAAGACATTTCTTTTTCTTCGCTACTGACTGTCTTGTGTTTGCGCTTAGAGCATGGCCAAGTGTTTTCGAGTCAAGCGCATTACAAATGATCTATATTATTATTATTATGTGCAGTCACATGGGTAGATTGGCCGTATGGGTAGGCCAATACTTATATTAAGTAGCCTTCTGAGGCGCGTCCACTTCAGTGAGTATATTCGTTACCATAATGCGAGGGAAAAGTTCTGGAAATCCCACATTTATCGTTATGAAATAATGTTTTTATAATTGAAATCGTCACAGTTCACACAATATTAAAATGTCTTTAACAGAAATCTGTTTTAGGGTGGACTAAGTATAAATGTGGTTTACTAAATCTATGTTAACCAAACCGGCGTTGATTCACACTGTGTCCTCAATACATTGAGGTTGTTGTGGTGCATGCCGTGCAGAGTTCACTTGGACTTTGCTCACGGTATCCCACTGAACGACTGACTGGGACACCGAGACGACGTGGATATGAGGAGAAAGTGTTTGATCT